TATGTACTCTAAAATAATTCGACGTAGAAGAAATATATTTATAAACTATAAATATACGAATACATACCTACATATAGTTTTCATTTGAAAACCCAGTAATTTTTTGTTGATTTGCAAGAAACGCATAATTAATGAAAACTTGAAGGTTATTTATATGTTTAAATCGTTATTTGTGGAAGACGCATCCGGGATAGAAAGCAAAAACATATAGAGTGAAAAACCGCGAAAGCGAAATTGGTTAAGTTAGATCGTTTATACATTTCACAACGATAGTATTGAGCAATTATAATACCGTAATTGTGTAATAAATACTTAACGACCAAGATACTAAAGACGAAAAGACAGAAATAAAAAAAATTATTATTCGTCTAATTTTTTCTACAAAACGACTACATTTTTACTTTATGTTTGCTCCTAATACGAAAATTATTGTTTACATTTTACACACTATTTCATTTTAATTTTTGAAATTTTTTTTTTTATAGTCATTGACCTCAATCATATTTTTAATATACATGTAATATTTTATAATGAAACATCGATATACATGCAATGGAAACAACCGACAAGTTGGGCGCTAAGGGCAATTAGATAAGTTTAACGGTGGTGGCGTCAAAACCAGTGTTGACCTAATTAGGAACAAGCCCTAATCCCCGAGAGCCATAAGGGAGAGAGAATACGCCCAGATATTGCATATTTGCAAATAACTCTTAGGATAATAATTAATTATCATAATTTTTCGATTTAAAAACAATTCATTAAACCGATGTATGGTTATACAAATAAAATTGTATGATCTATGAATTACGTATATTTAAATTATATACTAATTAAGTAAAAATCATAAAAAATATTAATTTGAAATAACCTTTTTCAAAATTAATATAGACCAAAACAGTATATGAAGATAGTATTAGTACCTCCTAATGCTCGTACATTTAAAAACAAAATAAGTATATATTTTACTAACACATGTCTTAAAAATGCGTCCTGTTATTCAGATGAATGTGGCCAGATGGTTTGTAACAAGGGGTTCAGTGTACCTTAGGGTAAGATTGGGACGGACCCATTCTTTGACGTTATATACGTATATGAAATAATCATATTTTATCCCTGTGGGGTTTTATAGTACATCTTTAATGGTCTTTTTTCACATGCTAAGATTGGAAAAAGGTATAATTGAAAAAACTACATATATGACAGGTGCAAAATACAATATTAGTTATAACTTATAAGTAGTTTATAGTTATAAATATTACTAATATTTTTTCAAGTATATTGCTTACTTTGAATAGCAAAATAATAATATACTAAATTGTTCGATTGTTACATGTTGTGAAGTAACAATTTCTAGATTTAATATACAATGAAATGTTACTTAAATATTTCAGAATACACTGTAATCTCCAGTCATTTGGTCTGTTCTATCAAAAAAATATCAATCATATATAGACTTTAAAAAATATTCTAAAATAATAGAATCAAAACTCCTAGTTCCCAATAAATTAACTGATATAACATAAAAAATCATAAGCGTGTTTTAATATACATAATTACAAAATAGTTTAAAATAAAAATGATTTTTTTTAAGTTTTGATTGTTTTAAAATGACAACAAAACATTTTAAAATTATATAATTTATAAATATGTTTATATTTATTATATATATATATAAATATTATATATTATATTATTTATTATATATTTATATTTATTTATGTAATTTAAAGAAAATTAAACACGCATTATATAAAATAGTAAATAATTTATCTACAAGTGTATTGTTTATTGATTTACATATGAAACAAATAGATAATCAAAAAATAATTTAAAATAAATTTAATAAACGAAAGTAAATATTTTATGGTAAGTTTGAAATTATGAGATTATGAGTTACGCAAAAATTCTCTCTATTTTTTACGAAAGATACAAACTGTTGTTTTGATTATAATTTAAATTATTATTCATTCGATGCACTAAATACTTAATAAAAGTTAATAACTCAATTAAAGACAAACGTGAAATACTACACAATTAAGAATTATAATATACATATTTTATTTTTTGTCAATAAAGAACATTTACTTTTGTTCTTGTACTAGAAATATAAATCCTTTTAACGATATTTTATAATTTTACATAGAATAAATTAAATTTAACTATTTTTTTAAAAAAAAGTAATATATTTGTTTTGTTTTACAAGGACCAACTGCAGCAGTTACGGTTGTCAACCTATTCAAACATGCCGAATTGGTGTCAAGGCACAAACGGCGCAATACACGTGTGACGAGTGACGAGTGCGAGTAAAGTGTGACGAGAAAAGGTGCTAGAGAAATAACACAAAAGGTGATTGTCATTATGGAACTGGAAAGTTATTTTAATTGTATTATGTGTTTACTAATTGTGATTATTGTTACAATTTTGAATACAAGTAATATACAAAGAAATGATCAGTTCTTAAATATTATCTAGTTTTTTCATTAAAATAAAATATATAATATTATATATTTTATGATATATGTATATTATCTGAATAATATAAAACCTAATAAGATTAATAAATAGTAAAAAATGAAAACTATATGAACAGTTAGATTAAATTTAATAAAAATAATTAAAAACCACAATTATTAAAATGTCGAGTTACTTCTTCTTTAATTAACACGGAATGTAATTAAAGTAAATACATAGTTAAACCAAGTTAAATAAAAATAAGGTACATTAAACATTATGATGAGTAACACTAAAACGTATTAAAATTTCTGAAACACGATTGAAGAGTTTGATATTTACCATATTTTCGTGTTATTATATCATATCCTATACATAGAAGTTATCTGAGGAGCATATTTATTGGTAAAAGCATAATATAAATTAAATTAACGAATCAAATAACTTATTTCTATGTTATATGAGTAATTAGTCTGTGTTAAAGTTGCTCTTTAAAATTAATCGGAGATGTTTGTTAATTCCAGCGAATCAAAAATATACCTCAACTTAGAAGCATTACGATGATTGGCAGTTATAACGGCTGCATCCGAATTATTTTAGGTATACACTAGTTACTGAATATTTTTTGACAAGTACTACATTATACTAACATTTTCCTTCCCATTTTAATAGACTTAGGACTGTCTATGATCTATTTAGATCGCAGGTATGGTTAAAAATGTTTTTTATAGTTTTTTTTTCTTTTTAGTTTCTTTTCCATTAATTTTTATTTGTATTATATAACGAATAAAATAATAATAAAATTTGTAATGTTTTTTAATTTACCTATATGTCTATAATTATATTATATAATATGTATTTTTATACTTGATTTTTAACATTTTTAATATTTTTACCAACACAATTGGAATAATTTATATTTTAATGGAAAATAAACTAAAAAACAAAAAAAAAAATTTAAAAAACATTTTTAACCATACTTGTGGTCTAAATAGATCATGACAGTCCTAAATCTGTTAAAATGGTAAGGAAAATGTTAGTATAATGTAGTACTTACCAAAAAATATTCAGGAACTAGTGTAATATCTAAAATAATTCAGGACCCAACTAGTATAGTAACTATAAAAATCCAGGACCCAAATAGTGTAGAACCTAAATAATTCGGGACCCAACTAGTGTAGTACCTATAAAAATCCGAGACTTTACTAGTACACTACCTGTGATTAACACCTAGTACTCGAGACCCAACTCGGATGCTCCGGTTATAATTGAGAAGGTAATTTTACATCCCTAAATTGTTATATTCAGAGCTCATAATATCATATCACACATTATATCTCTAAAAGCAAAAAAAATATATAAACATATTATTAGTAAAAAAAAAAATTAAATTACAGTACCTAAATAAAAATATAATCATAAAACTTATATAATTTTAAAGCCAGAATCCAAAGTAAATTTGAAATATATAAATAACTATAAACACATTTATATCAGTATTAAAAGAAAAAATTGCAATTTACTTTTAAAAAAGGTGTGGTATACATTTCATAGATTTATTGATTACTTTATAAAAAATAATTACTGATCATAGTTTTTAATTTTTAATTTGCTAACAGCAACATAAAACCTATAGACTACTCTTACTTTTTAAAAATGTAATTTTTGTAAAAAAAATTACTCGTAAAATAATAGGATTTTAGTTTCACTTAGAATCTAAAATCGTTTATATTATAATAATCATATTTAGTTATTTAATACAAATTAGACTAAATTACATTAATTATTATAAATATGATAGATATGCTCCTATGCATATCTATTATATTTATATTTAAAATCGTTAGTATAGTTATCCTAACTACTACTAATATACTATGGAATGAAATACTGTAATTGAATAAAAATTTGGTAAGGTAACGAAAATATGCATAATCCTTTATTTTTTATAATATATATATAATAAGCCGATTAATTAATACGATAATACGAATAACTAAATAAATTAATATTTTTAATTCTAGCAAAAATAAAAATACAATTTATAATAATAACACTAAAAGCGAAATAAAGAATTAACAATAAGATCTTCTTTAAAAGGAAAAAAAAAGAAAAATGTTCAAAATATCCCTCCAAAGTCCAAATCGAAGTACACAAGGGGGATAGCGTTACAGCAAGAGGGAAGGAAATAAAAACGCATAAACGTGGGTGTTGCCTTGACTACTTACCTACATAATACGTAATTTTATAGTTTCATTTATGTCACATGAATTTCAAAAACAAAATGCATAATTTCAAATGAATAAAAATAATATAAATAACATTTTGTTTTAACACAATAATATATTTATTTGTAGCAATAATTATTAAAACTACAAAATGTAAGTCAAAATATTGATCAAATCCACCAGAATTGTTATTTGTTTACATACATTCTAATCAAAATAACAATTGTAAGAAGAAAGTCAAGGGCCGGTTTCATAAGATACGACAAAATATCAATAAGCACATGTAATCTCAATATATTAATATCATTCGGTGTCACTCACCGGAAATCATGAAATCCTGATGACGCACCCATCGTAGTAGACCAAAATTCCACGCACACACGCAAACACCCGTTAAAAATAAAAATCACTTTAGGACATTTTAACTCAGAATAAAAATAAACCACCACATCTTAAAATGCGTTCACTATATCATGCTAATTATCAATTAAACCAATTACAGCGGAGCACACATATTTCAATAAAAATTGTCCATGTAGATATGTAATTAACAATAACTAAACCATATTTACAACACATTGAAGTATAAATACATTGCAACTGTATATATATGTATGTATATTCGCATTTATATTAATTTCGCAATAATAAAATATTTTTGAAACAATAATGATAATATTAGGAAACAAGATAGAGAAAGAGGGATAGGGAGAAAAACAGAGGAATGAGAGTGATGGAGAGAGTGGAAAACGTAAATGAACGCATCCAATAAACACCAGAACAGCCGACAAATACTGCGAAGTTACGACTGTTGACGGGGTCACAGGATACTTCTCCCTCGAGCGCACATACGCACAGGCACCGATAGCGGATTGAGAACCGAGGTTTTTTCCCTGCGCAGTGTTGCCGTGTCGAATGATTGTAAAGATATTATGTGGCAACACCGCAGTAGAACTAATTGACTAGCACGTTTTATTCTTCACTCTTATTCTTTCTCTTCTTTCCTCCACCTCTCACTCAATCTCTTTCACTTTGTCTATCTTACCCTCTCACGCGACTTTAGATGCCTCTAAAGAAATGTGTCATTTGTTTAGTCACCGCGGTATATATTATGATTAAAATACAACAAAAAAGAAAGATAAAATGAAATAACCTTATAAACACAATAAAATATAGATGTTTTGTATAAATTAGTAATGAATGCATTCTTCTACATTGCTGAAATATTTAAATTTCCTTTTATTTATTTGTATGATTTTTTTCAAAAAAATAACGATGAAATTGTTATCTATAACAATATTAACTAACATCGATTTTCTTATGAAATACAACCAATAAAAATGGGTTAAGTGACAACTGATAAGATATAAGAATTACCAATAAATTGTATATTACTTAATTATAAGCTGCAATAATGACACCCAGAAGTATTATATTAATGCAATTGGTACTGGTACTTGGTAATACTTGGTTACTTGGTAATATACATATATAAATTATATACATACAATCATTTTGGTGACAGAATTCATAGACCGTATTCCATATAGTGTCAACCTATCAATAATAATAAACAGTGGGACGATGAAAATATTTTCGGTCCCAGGCTTAAGTATAAAATGTCTATTCTACCAACTCGGTATTGTAAATTTATAATTTTTATATAGTATAATAATAAAGTCTAAGATTCAAATAAATAATGTCTATGTGTATTTCAAATATTTTAAGATTATTAATTTTTTACTTTTTAAGTTATTAATATATAAATTATACACTATCAATATATACCTAAATTATAGGAACTTAGTTGATAGACATGTACATTTCTGAAATTATTTTTTTTGGGAGATTATTAATTATTTTTTACTTGCATTTTTTTGATTTTAGTTGAATCAAGCATTTGAATGTTTTATAATATTTTTGATATCAAGCAGTAAAAGTAACGATATTTTTATAATTCAAACGTAACGAAAAAATAAAAAAATAAGTTTTATAATAAATTATTGATTACTTAATTTATAAGATAATTGAATCATTAAGTTTTTATTTGGTAGATGGATATAGGTAATATAGGTACATTAAAGGTTGTCAAGTTTTAATCATAATTTAATATTAAAACAAATTATATAAAATAATTATATATTACAGATTCACAAAAGAGTGAAGTCTATAATTTATAGTTCTTTCTTCCTTTTTATTTATTTTGTTATGAGTAAATGTGAGTACCTACAACAAATATTTTCATTATTTTAATAATATATATTTGTGAATTAGGTAAAATCGAATACATTTTCATTATACTTCATTTTCATTTCAATATACTTCTAAGTTATATATTTACATGTTGTAAAAGAGAAATCATTCTGTAAATTATACCAAAATATTGTTTATATTATAATATTACGTAAAGTATCAAGATTATATTAAATCGAATTATCAATTTATTAGACTTTAAAATACATTCATCATTCAAAATTTTAAACCATTAGAAATTATACAGTCAGTTATAACTTACTCGATATTCAAATATTGGTTAGATAAAATCCACCGAAAATTACATATACAACAATGACCTTTATTAATAATAGAATATAGTTAAAGTCTGATGTTCGATAAATTGTCATAGCTTTGGTTATATTAACTAAATAAATCAGATTAGAAATAAATTATTTTATTTTAGACTTCAATGAATCATAATGAATTTATTCGACACAGTTAATATAATTCACTATGGATATAAAATGAAGATAATTTTCATAAATATTTTACTTAGCTATTAAAATATCAAATTCAAGAAACAAAATTATATATATTCTATATAAATATATCCATATAGAACATTAAAATCTTTAAATTATAAATAATTAAATTTGATAATTATACCACGTTTTTATTCAATTAAAATAGTTTTAATTTGAGTAAAAATCTTGCCTATGAATAAAAAATATTTAAAAAAATTAACCTTACATAATTTGTTTTTCATAGCTCCAAGATTATCTGAAAAAAATACTTCTTTTATATTAAAAAAAAAAAAAATCGTTTATGGTCGATTGCTATATCTGTCATACTTCTTGTTGGTCGTTGTATTAATATGAATATATTCAAATTAAGATGAAATAACTAGTTTTAAATAATATTAAATAATAATTATATACAATTTTCTGTAAAATAATTTAAATAGACTTCTATAAGATAATAAAATATAGATAGGACCAGTTGCGTATATTCGGGGGGGGGGGGCTTTACCTGGTCTCAACCCCCCCCCCTCAGAAGAAAGATGGTCCAAGAGTCATAAATTACTTGCTATGAAGATACAGAGAAAGAAAATATTAATTTATATCATGTGGTTTTAATATTTGTGTAAGAAAATATACCACTGCATAGAACCATTTAAAAAATTATACTATACTCGGCATGACTCGTGTATATAATGTACCTACCTATATATCAAAAGCATTGGCTAAAATGAAATAGGGGATCAAGTAGTTTCCCCCTCTTAAATGTGTTCAAGTTTCCATAGAAAAATATAAGTACCTACATACATTACTTTAATCCAACCTTATTACAAACAATGGAATATATTTTATGTAAAATACATAATGAATGAAATTTTATGAATAAGAATTTAACGATCGTTAAAAATTAGTTCAAAAAAGTATTAAAATATTTATAGTCGATTTCATATAGTATATATACTAAAGTTGATTATAAGTAACCCCTGGAGTTGCTTTAAATAAAATTATAACCTTTTAAATAAAATACGATATTTTTAAATAAATAAAATTTTATAAAACTTTATTGGATATGATAAATTTTTTTTGTCAAAAAAATACATTTAATTGGTCTTAAAAGTATTATAGGTAGGTAGTTTCATTGATTATAAATACTATTATAAATAATATAGTATATATAATCAATGGTAGTAGGTACTATATTATTGATAGAAGTAAATCGTTATCGTAAATTATATAATTATTAACCTATGGATCTATAACCGTAAATGTTTATTTTATTTATTTATTTTTTTTTATTGTTATAGGTATACTTTCAAAGCTCTGATTTTTTAAATATAAAATAATAATAAATCATTTTTAGTTCTATAAAATATCGAGCATAGAGATCAAAAATTCAAAATAAAATTCGAAATTACTTCAAAACAATTCTTTAAAAATAAAATATATTATAAAAAATAATAAATTAAATTTATAGTGTTATTATTAGGGCACAGATTACTTCTTTGATGCATTTTTGGTATTTTCACTACTTATAAGAACATTATTTTCATATTTTTAAATTTTTTTTTAGTATTTTTGGAAAGAATTAAAAAATTTTCAAATATTCAATATTTTTCTTTAATTAAATTATTAACAACTACACTTTATCGTCTTATGTTATCGTTATGTTATTCAATTATGGTATAATAGTCGATAACAATAATGCGGACTACTTGTGTGGAAAGCATTGGACAAATAAAGTAAAAAAATTTTAGTACATTTTTGGTAGTCATTTTCACATTTTTAATACATTTTTTTACGTCATTGATTAAGTTTTATAGGTCATAATTGCATTTTTTTAAGGCATTTTAAAGTATTTTTTTAGGGTATTAAAATCCGCGCCCTAGTTGTTATATATAACCTTGTATACGTGTATTTAAATTTAACCTGTAGTGTATTACTATATTTTATTAATATTATACGCTTAAATATTTGCTGAATGAAGACTTAATTTCTGATTATGTACTTTTGCATTACATGAGACATTATAATACCATAGATAATACGAGTTCTATAAATAACCAACCACATGGAATAGTGGAATAACCAATACCTTATCATTTTAGTAAGTATAATAAGCAAATAATAATTCTTGTGTGTATATAAAACGATTAATACAATTCAGTAGTGTTGTTTTGCCAATTTGAAAGAGTTGACTGTGCCACAAGGTCGAAAGTGTATAAAATTATTGGCAAACACGCAGAACTTGCTGCAGCCTGCGGGCGAGATATAAACGCTACAGACAAAGATGGCACAAATATCCTTGACATTCCTGTATATATACATATTTACTAGTTTTTAAAAAAAAGCCGATACAACAATTTTGTCTTATATAGTTACCGTGTCAACTCTAGCTAGTCCATGAGTGCAAATATTTCATATTATCTCCCTTTGACGTAAAATCTAGGTACTTATGAAACTCATTTAAATTAATTATTAGATAAAAGATTATTCTATATTTCTTTATCTAGAGAAATAACACAACCGTGTGGCAATTTAAATTTACGTTAATTAAATTTCAATGGCTATAAAATTAACTATAGATCATTTGAAAATATACTAATGCCAAATTGTTAACCAATAATGCAATTCCATGGAATGAACTATATAATGATTTTATTTAAAATACATTGTATAAAATTAACAAAACTGAAAAACATAATAATATGATATAATTATAGCCTTATATGAAGTATCATAAAATATCTCAGGATTATACTCGAGTATTAAAATTAATGCAGTGAAATTTTTAAATTTTTATACAACTACCCATTCTTACACCCCAGAAAATTTGAAAATTGATAATTACAATTAAAAAATATCTCGTAATTTTACACTAGTAAATAAAATATAAAAGAACGTTCATTGATTATTCATTGATTATATAGGTATATATATATATATATTTGTCTATATGTTCTTAAGATATGATACGAATAATGTAATTTTAAAAATCGAGTATAATAAACATGTTTGATACTTCTATGGTGATTATATTTACGAGTATATTCTTGATATATATCAAAAATAACTTAAAACTTA